CCGCGCTCCATCTCCTTCCAAGTTCTCCACCCCAGTGTCAACCACCCCCAGCTCAGTCCCCACGCTGTCTCCTGCCCCCAACGCCACACCCACGCGAAAAATGCCCCCCTACATGGTCACCTCCTTCGTCTCCTTGCCCCCCACATCGCCCTCTGCGCAGGAGCCCCTCGACACCGACTCATCCTCCAAGGAGCCCCCAGTCAAGAGCGGGGTCCCAGGAGCAAAAGACAGCACGGCGCTGCGGCAAGGGGTCCCCCAGAAGCCCTACACCTTCCTGGACGAGAAGGCGAGGTGAGTAGTGGTGGGACAGGATGCTCTGCCGGGGTGGTGTTCCCCCCTCCAGCAGCCCATGCTGGGGATGCTGAGCACCTCCCTGTGCTGCAGGGGCCGTTTTGGGGTGATCCGTCTGTGCAAGGAGAACGCCACGGGGAAGCTCTTCATGGCCAAGATCGTGCCCTACGAGGCGGAGCGGAAGCAGAGCGTGCTGCAGGAGTACGAGATCCTCAAGGCCCTGCACCACGAGCGCATCATGGCCCTGCACGAGGCGTACATCACCCCTCGCTACCTGGTGCTCATCTGCGAGAACTGCACTGGCAAGGAGATCCTCTACAGCATCGTGGACAGGTACGGGTGAGCGCAGGGCTGGGGGGGCCAGCTGCCAGCACAGGGCCACCTGCTGATGCCGCTTGCCCCCAGGTTTCGCTACTCAGAGGATGACGTGGTGAGCTACGTGCTGCAGCTCCTGCAGGGCCTTGAGTACCTGCATAGCCGCCGCATCGTGCACCTCGACATCAAGCCGGACAACGTCATCATCTCAGGCATGAACGCCCTCAAGATCATTGATTTCGGCAGTGCCCAGACCTACAACCCCCTTGTGCTGCGGCAGCTGGGGCGGCGCGTTGGCACCCTGGAGTACATGTGTGAGTGGGGCACCAGGGGTGCAGTGGCATGGACACAGGGACGGGGACAGGGACAGATCTGGGGCATGCTTCTGCTCGAGATGTGCATGTGTGCCCATGTACTGGGGGGCTTGGGAATGGGGAGGAGTTGAGGTGTCCTTGGGGAAGCTGGGGGACCTTTGGTGTGCTTGGGGTGTCTGCTGATGGTTTCTGTAGTGTTGCCGGGCTCAGTAGGAGAGTTTGGGTGCTGCGGGGCAATTGGGGTATCCTTGGAGGTGCTGGGCTCTATCATGGTATTGGGGTGACAGGGACGGGTGCTGGAGGGTGCAATGGTGGGGTGATGTGGCTGCTGCGGGTTCTGGGGATGCTCTGCATGCTGTGGGTGCTGGGGATACTGTGGGTTCTGGAGGTGCTGGGAGTGCTGAGGGTGCTGGAGATGCTGGGGGTGCTGGGGCTGGGTCCCCCAGTGCATATGACAGACCTGCTCCCCTGCCTGCAGCACCAGAGGTGGTGAAGGGGGACCCGGTGGGCTCTGCAGCAGATGTCTGGGGCGTTGGCGTTCTCACCTACATCATGTAAGAGAAGCGGCCGGGAGAACAAGCACCCTGAGGTGCAGCCAGCCCCACCCAGGGCTTGGTGCCATGGGGAACATCAGGCTGGTGGTGGGCTGGGGGCTGCTGTAGCCCTGCACAGCCTTCCCAGCTGGACATGGGCATCGAGACACCCTGGGCAGCTGTGGCTGTCCTAAAACAGGGATGGGCAGGTAGAGGGTGCCAGCTACCCTCCTACCGCTGCCCCCCAGCCCATGCCACCCCCTCCACACTTGCAGGCTCAGCGGGCGGTCGCCGTTCTTCGAATTGGACCCCATCGAGACGGAGAACCGCATCCTGGCAGGGCGCTTTGATGCCTTCAAGCTGTACCCCAACGTTTCGCAGAGTGCCGCCCTCTTCATCCGCAAGGTCCTCGCTGTCCACCCCTGGTGAGTGCCTGGCCCAGCCAGGGAGGACACGTGGCCCCAGACCGCACCTCCAACTGGGCCAGGCGGGCAGCTCCCTGCCCCACGGGGCCCCTCCAGACGTCATCAGTTGGATCCCAGGGTCCATCCCTGTTCCTGGTGAGGACTGGGATCTCCTGAGCCCAGGACTCTGGGATCCATCCCTGCTCTTGGAGAGGGCTGGGACCCCCTGTTCTTACAGGGCAGGGATGGTGGCTGCATTTGGGGGGGTGCGGCCATGGTGGGCACTCCGTGGCCTCTGACATGGAGTCACCCCTGCCCCAGGAGCCGCCCCACGGTGAAGGACTGCTTTGCCAACGCCTGGCTCCAGGACGCCTACCTGATGAAGCTGCGCCGCCAGACCCTGACCTTCACCACCAACCGCCT